TAGCGGTAAATAAGGCTATAGTTATTAATACCGGCCGGTATCGTGAAGGTGTAGGCGATGCGCTCCATTTCATACTGCACCTGATTATTGCCCAGTATCACCGCATGTAATCCGCCTCCGGGCGCAACCACCGGGATGCCACAAAGCGGGTCGGTTCCCTGCCCCGATGTAATCGTATGCCGGCCGCCTACCGGCGGCCCCGGCTGAGACCAGGTAACGGCGGGGCCGCCATAATTCAGGCCCGTATAACAGGTCCAATTCAAAAAATTACCCTGCTCAAAATCAATATTCAAAGGGCAGGACGTGACCTGGCCTTTTACCGAAAACATGCCCGGTAATAAAATGACGGTAAAAAGCAGCCGGTAAAATTGCCTCATAAAGGATCAGGTAAATGGATGATTGACGAGGTCACAATAACATAACGTTCACAAAAGCTTCTTACAATATTAATATAATCTTTCACTTTATTAAAGTAGCATACATTTCTTTTCTAAACAGTATAAAAAATCAGTTTTGCATTCTATTTTTAAATAGAATGTTGTTTCATTAAGAATAGCGTTAAGCGAAGTCCCCCGACTTCGCTTGGGCGGGGTGCCGTCCCCTGACGGCTTTTTGAAACAACCAATCCACTAGCTAAATGACATTGATTTTTAAATATCCTACATCATCCATATGAAATATAACGTTCGCCTCCTTTCATGCACATTATTGCTCCTGCCGGCACTGGCAGCATCCGGCCAGGAAACTCCGGTTCCTTATCTTACATCAGGTGGCAAATACCAGTATGTAGACCGTCATTCCATGCAACCGGTGTTTAATACGGTGTTCAATATGGCGCAGCCATTTAGTAATGGCCTTGCACTTACCGAAATACAGGGACAACAGCGCTATATTCTGCCATCAGGACAGCCGGGTATCAATATTGTGTTTGACGAAGGCAATTCCTTCCGGGGCAAACAAGCGGTTATCTATAAAAACAAGTTCAGCTACCTTATTGATGAGCATGGTAAAAACCTCGTATTGGATTATCCGGTCCAGGAATGGACGATTGCCGGCGGCAGGGCCGTGGTAACCAATCCCGCGGGGAAGGCAGGGTATATTGATGTGGCAAACGGCCGTAACGTGATCCCCTGCATTTATGAATTTGCCCGGCCATACAGTGAAGAGTTTGCGGCCGTACGCCAGAATGGTAAATGGGGCTTTATCGACAAGGCTGGCAAGATCATCGTACCAGCCATTTATGATGATGTCACTTCTTTTGGTGAAGGACTGGCGGGTGTAAAACAAGGTAATAAATGGGGGCTTATTGATGCAACCGGCAAAATTTTTGTGGCGCCGCGGTATGATAAGATCACCCCTTTTGCAGCAGGCCGTGCATTTGTAAAACTGAACGAAGGTTCCTGGGGCATTATCGCCCGGAACGGCGTACCTGTTTCGCTGCCACTTCCTTACCAGGCGATCAGCCCGCTATCGGATGGGCTTGCCGCTTTTATGCAGCAAAATG